ACATCCTTTAACATTCTGATAGAGGGCCATGAGACTTAAACCTAAACAAAACGACAGTGGTACCCCTTACGTTTTTTTTTTCCGGGCGAAAAATTAAGGTTCTCCAATCTTCTCAAAACTCTGGATTCTGATAGAGTGCCATGAGACTTAAACCTGAGTGCAAAAATGGAGGCTCTAGACCCTTCCAGAGCTGAGATATCGAAACTCAAAAATTCGACCCGAAAAAAAAACGACAGTGGTACCCCTTACGTTTTGTTTTTTTCGGGCGAAAAATTAAGGTTCTCCAATCTTCTAAAAACTCTGGATTCCGATAGAGGGCCATGAGACTTAAACCTGAGTGCAAAAATGGAGGCTCTAGACCCTTCCAGAGCTGAGATATCGAAACTCAAAAATTCCACCCCAAAAAAAAAGACAGTGGAACCCCTTACCTTTTTTTTTTTCGGGTGAAAAATGAAGTTTCTCCAATCTTCTCAAAACTCTGGATTCTGATAGAGGGCCATGAGACTTAAACCTGAGTGCAAAAATGGAGGCTCTAGACCCTTCCAGAGCTGAGATATCGAAACTCAAAAATTTGAGCCGAAAAAAAAAACGACAGTGGTACCCCTTACGTTTTATTTTTTCGGGCGAAAAATGAAGGTTCTCCAATCTTCTCAAAACTCTGGATTCTGATAGAGGGCCATGAGACTTAAACCTGAGTTCAAAAATGGAGGCTCTAGACCCTTCCAGAGCTGAGATATCGAAACTCAAAAATTCGACCCGAAAAAAAAACGACAGTGGTACCCCTTACGTTTTTTTTTTTTTCGGGCGAAAAATTAAGGTTTCTCAAACCTCTGGATTCTGATAGAGGGCCATGAGACTTAAACCTGAGTGCAAAAATGGAGGCTCTAGACCCTTCCAGAGCTGAGATATCGAAACTCAAAAATTCGACCCGAAAAAAAAACGACAGTGGTACCCCTTACGTTTTTTTTTTCGGGCGAAAAATTAAGGTTCTCCAATCTTCTCAAAACTCTGGATTCTGATAGAGGGCCATGAGACTTAGACCTGAGTGCAAAAATGGAGGCTCTAGACCCTTCCAGAGCTGAGATATCGAAACTCAAAAATTCGACCCGAAAAAAAAACGACAGTGGTACCCCTTACGTTTTTTTTTTTTCGGGCGAAAAATGAAGTTTCTCCAATCTTCTCAAAACTCTGGATTCTGATAGAGGGCCATGAGACTTAACCTGAGTGCAAAAATGGAGGCTCTAGACCCTTCCAGAGCTGAGATATCGAAACTCAAAAATTCGACCCGAAAAAAAAAACGACAGTGGTACCCCTTACTTTTTTTTTTTCGGCGAAAAATTAAGTTTCTCCAATCTTCTCAAAACTCTGGATTCTGATAGAGGGCCATGAGACTTAAACCTGAGTGCAAAAATGGAGGCTCTAGACCCTTCCAGAGCTGAGATATCGAAACTCAAAAATTCGACCCGAAAAAAAAACGACAGTGGTACCCCTTACGTTTTTTTTTTTTCGGGCGAAAAATGAAGGTTCTCCAATCTTCTCAAAACTCTGGATTCTGATAGAGGGCCATGAGACTTAAACCTGAGTGCAAAAATGGAGGCTCTAGACCCTTCCAGAGCTGAGATATCGAAACTCAAAAATTCGACCCGAAAAAAAAACGACAGTGGTACCCCTTACGTTTTTTTTTTTTCGGGCAAAAATGAAGGTTCTCAAAACTCTAGATTCTGATAGAGGGCCATGAGACTTAAACCTGAGTGCAAAAATGAGGATCTAGACCCTTCCAGAGCTGAGATATTGAAACTCAAAAATTCGACCCGAAAAAAAAACGACAGTGGTACCCCTTACGTTTTTTTTTTTCGGGCGAAAAATTAAGTTTCTCCAATCTTCTCAAAACTCTGGATTCTGATAGAGGGCCATGAGACTTAAACCTGAGTGCAAAAATGGAGGCTCTAGACCCTTCCAGAGCTGAGATATCGAAACTCAAAATTCGACCCGAAAAAAAAACGACAGTGGTACCCCTTTCGTTTTTTTTTTTCGGGCGAAAAATTAAGTTTCTCAAAACTCTGGATTCTGATAGAGGGCCATGAGACTTAAACCTGAGTGCAAAAATGGAGGCTCTAGACCCTTCCAGAGCTGAGATATCGAAACTCAAAAATTCGACCCGAAAAAAAACGACAGTGGTACCCCTTACGTTTTTTTTTTTCGGCGAAAAATTAAGGTTCTCCAATCTTCTCAAAACTCTGGATTCTGATAGAGGGCCATGAGACTTAAACCTGAGTGCAAAAATGGAGGCTCTAGACCCTTCCAGAGCTGAGATATCGAAACTCAAAAATTCGCCCGAAAAAAAAAAACGACAGTGGTACCCCTTACGTTTTTTTTTTCGGGCGAAAAATTAAGTTTCTCCAATCTTCTCAAAACTCTGGATTCTGATAGAGGGCCATGAGACTTAAACCTGAGTGCAAAAATGGAGGCTCTAGACCCTTCCAGAGCTGAGATATCGAAACTCAAAAATTCGACCGAAAAAAAAAACGACAGTGGTACCCCTTACGTTTTTTTTTTGGGTGAAAAATTAAGGTTCTCCAATCTTCTCAAAACTCTGGATTCGATAGAGGGCCATGAGACTTAGACCTGAGTGCAAAATTGGAGGCTCTAGACCCTTCCAGAGCTGAGATATCGAAACTCAAAAATTCGACCCGAAAAAAAACGACAGTGGTACCCCTTACGTTTTTTTTTTTCGGGCGAAAAATTAAGTTTCTCCAATCTTCTCAAAACTCTGGATTCTGATAGAGGGCCATGAGACTTAAACCTGAGTGCAAAAATGGAGGCTCTAGACCCTTCCAGAGCTGAGATATCGAAACTCAAAAATTCGACCCGAAAAAAAAAACGACAGTGGTACCCCTTACGTTTTTTTTTTTGGGGGGGGAAAAATTAAGGTTCTCCAATCTTCTCAAAACTCTGGATTCTGATAGAGGGCCATGAGACTTAAACCTGAGTGCAAAAATGGAGGCTCTAGACCTTCCAGAGCTGAGAT